ATGTAAAATATTTGAAATTGTCTTATGCACTTCTCAGCTGAATACAATAGAAACAACATTTCTTGATCAAAAAGTTGTGATTTCCAGATAAAAAAGTTTTGCTCTTTGAAAAATCCACTTCTCGGTATTTGTTTCTTTACGTTTCTCGGCGGCGACGCGCCGGGATTTGATGCATACAGATGGGATTGCCTTACGCGGAAAATGAGAATGTGTGAGTTGTTTGATTTACTTCTACTTCCCTCGTCTGTCGCGTGATGTACGAACGTGTAACTGAGAGGGGATCCATCTATGAGAATACAGCCAGTCACTCGCTATTTGTTAGAGTATTTTCTTATCAAAAAACATCGCTTTTGGCACGGGGGATCAACGCGGGAGGATTCGCGCTCCCTTCCAGCGAGGGTGATCTTTGAATCCCTCGGAAATTCGACTTGGCCGCAGACAACGAACCGAAAATCGTCTCCCAATCGAGTCAAGAAAGCCAAATTGAAAATTATTGCGCCGAGTTTTTTGGCGGTCCACCTGGTTGGCCCTGCCGTGGACGGATTGCTCTTGGAAATGGAGCAGTTTCGAACGCGATTCTCTCGCGGGAAAATATCTCCTTCTTTTCCTCTGATCCAAATATGCATTTCTATTTGCCAGGCAGGCAAGCAATAAAACAAAGAGCGGAGTTGAGTTACTCGGGGTAAGAGGCTTATCCTGCGACAGAGGGAATAAATATGCTATTTCGGAGTTGCACTGCTACGAAGAAGGAGAAGGGAAAAGCGATTCGAAAGTTGTAAATTGCCTACAAAATGCTATAGAAATTGGAGAAATATAACATAAAGAAAAAGTTGAGCTGCTTTATTTTTCCATTCCGCTTCAAATCACAATTGATAGAACAAACAACAAACAGCTTTGTTGAAAACATGAGTATTGAAAAAAGAAAAAAATAAATCAAATATTTATGGAACTTATGAGTTTAATAAACACTGTAAATAGATATAAAATGTATTAAAAAAATTAAATTTTCTAGTCATTTGTATTTTAACCAATTGAATAATAATTTAATTGATTAAAATTCAGGCTTCCAAGCTGATTGCAAGAATTTTTTTTTAAGTCTGAATATTCAATTTTCTACTCCCCTTTCTAAGACCACAAAAGAATTTTCATTTTGCCACTGAGGAGAAACTCGGCAGTAATATTTGGCGACGGAATTACTTACGGCTCTCTGCAGTTGTGTTTTAATTTATTCGCAAATTGAATGAAATCCTGTGTGTGTCGAGAGAGCGACGAGAACGAGGAGGCAACGAGCGAAACCAGCAGTTTCCATGACAACTGCAGCGATAACCAAATTGTCTTTTAACTCGCGCGGCGCTCTCAAAGAGAGACACAGTGCGAGATGAAGAAAATCAAGTTGTTGTTTCTCTCACACTAACTTCTCTCGCTTCAATCTAATCTTCTCTTCTGTGCTCTCATTTTCTTATTCAATCTCATCAACACAACCGCTAGCTGTTGAGAGAAGAAAGAGAGAGAATTGTACTGGGGTGTTCCTTTTCTCTTGGGCGCGCGCCGAGCTACAGACGGATGTGATTTGCTCCAAGAGAGCGCCGAGATTGCCTCAGGTCTCCGGCCAAAAAGAATAATTTACAATCTCAGAGGATTGTTCGCCGTAATTGGCCAACTCAATAGCAGGGTGGCGTCGCCCGACTTGATGATGAAATTCGGACGGAAACTCTCTCGCTCTGTTGACAAAAGCTAAAAATAAATTCCCGTCAAGATAAAGAAAGTGAAAATTTCAATTAGGGCTGGTCGAAAATTCAATTTTCAGATTGGATACTTTTAAAAGGAAGCAAACATTTTTAATCATTTGACACCTTTCAAGCCAAAGCACAGGTCGGTTGGCAAGGGGTCGTGGATTTATTTGCAAAAAATCAGGTGAAAAGAACACAAAATTTGACGGATTTTGGCGTGGAAAAAACTCGGAAAAGTCAAAAGCTTTCTCGGAAAAACGCTACTGTAGTTTCAACTTAAAAATGGAATATCTCGGGTTCTAATTGAGATACAGAAATGCGGCTAGCACCAAAAATTTTCTTTTTACCTCCTCTTCAATCCTGAGGGGTCAAATAATCCAGAGGTCAAAGGTCAAGGTCATTTTTCAGGGGTCACAAGTACAAAAAAATTCTAGCAAAAATATGCCACCTTCGATTGGGCTGAAATTTTTTTCTAAGATAGTCCCAACATGTAGGAACAACATATTAAAAATTCAGAATGGCATATATTTTAGATTTTTTATAAAAAAATCACAAAGGTAAAAAAACGTGAATTTTTCGCATTTTGCTCATGATCAAAAATTTATTTTGAGGAAGTACGTATCTAAAATGGGTAAATTTATTTATTTATTGACAAAACATTTCTAAATTTTCAAAAAATTTCTTAAAAATTCTCAAAATCAATATCCGACCATTGGCAAAATACGAAAAATTCACGTTTTTTTACCTTTGTGATTTTTTTATAAAAAATCTAAAAAATATGCCATTCTGAATTTTTAATATGTTGTTCCTACATGTTGGGACTATCTTAGAAAAAAATTTCAGCCCAATCGAAGGTGGCATATTTTTGCTAGAATTTTTTTTGTACTTGTGACCCCTGAAAAATGACCTTGACCTTTGACCTCTGGATTATTTGACCCCTCAGGATTGAAGAGGAGGTAAAAAGAAAATTTTTGGTGCTAGCCGCATTTCTGTATCTCAATTAGAACCCGAGATATTCCATTTTTAAGTTGAAACTACAGTAGCGTTTTTCCGAGAAAGCTTTTGACTTTTCCGAGTTTTTTCCACGCCAAAATCCGTCAAATTTTGTGTTCTTTTCACCTGATTTTTTGCAAATAAATCCACGACCCCTTGCCAACCGACCTGTGCTTTGGCTTGAAAGGTGTCATTTGTATTACAATAATTATATAAGGATTGACCTAAAATATCGTAGAAAATTAAGTTGAATGACGAATCTTTTGACACAAAAATCTTAAAGTAAAACTGCATTGAATTGAACTATAAAAAGAAGTAAAACTCAAGTTCTTCAAATCGAACCAAAATCGGATCTAGCAATTTTGGTTTGCAGAAACACAAATTTTGTAGTAAATTTAATCGAAAATAACAGAAATTGAGAAAAAAAACAATAGGGTAGTATTTCTTTCAACGCCTTCCATAATTTTGACTGAACGAAAATCCGCCCTACAAAGTCCCTAAGCCCAATTCGGTTAACAATTCCCAGCTCTCTCTTCTTGTGGCACAAAGAGCGAGCGAGAAGCTGCAGAACACCTTCGTAATCAGCAAAACCCAGTTAGCAGCCGTAACGCAATTTGCCCCGCTGCGTTATTGCCTCATGCCTTAATTCAATCGTGAGATGTAATAATAATACAGCTACTGCGGCTTAACGCGATTAAGCGTTATTCTGACAAAGTGGAGTTGAAATCCGAGCCACCGGCATGCGATGTGCTCCTTCCATACACGCCGGGCTGCTTGAGGCACGTCATTTTCCACTTGCAAAGGGTTTACACCGCCCAGAATATGAGCTAATTTGCCGTAACACAATAGAGAGACTATGTATGCAACCTTCACGTCACCTATTACGTTGCTGCCAAAAGGGCTTATCTCTCTCTGATTGCAAATTCGAGAACGTACCCTCTCTCTCATCTGCTACCCACAAAGACTTCATAATCCTCAAGTTTTGGCTAGAGGCCGAATTTCAGAACGTGGAAAAATAAAAATCTGCTAAATTGATATCAAATTAAAGTTAGAAAATTAAAAATATAAAATGTTTAGCAAATTTACCAAGAATAAACATTTTACTATTAAAATCAATTTCATTGTACTTGATCGTTGTGAAATAAATTTGTTGGGGTGGGTAATTTTTTTTAGTAAATTTAAGCTATCTTGTTTATAACTCAGGCAACCGAAAGGTAGCTAAATCAAGAAATTGCCTTAAGATAAATCAATAAAAACATTTTTGCAGCTAACAATAAATAAAATAACACTCTGATTGAAATCCTAAACAAAAACGATCAGTGTTTTTCACCGATTTGCATACCTTAGAGCTGATAAATCAAAGAATCGGTTGCTAGTAATTTAAGCAAGCATTAGTTCAGTTACTTCAGTTTTTCTGCATTGTTTTTGTTGGGATTTTTGGTTGATTTACCTTATGGAACAGGTTTTACTTTTAAAATTTTTTACCCCTTTCACTTGTCCTGAAACGTTAAAAATAGCAATGATTAAATTTCTGCAATTTAAATAATTATAACTAATAAATTAAATTTTAGATATTATTTTTATCGTAAAGATAAAATATTATTTTATTAATTGCTTCGTTACTCTGACTTCTGCCGTCAGCAGCTGAAATCCATTATCAGGAACGTTTTGTACTTTTTAGGAATTGAAATTAATGCAATTATAATTTCGTCTTTTTTATTATTTAATCTGAAAATAGTTTAATAATTCTGGAGGTTTTCCTAATTGACATTTATAATCTAAATATGACATTTTAAAAGATAAATTTGCGACATAAAAGTGGGAATCAATCATAATTTCATATAGGAAATGCAAAAATAATATTGAATAATTTGATTGCAAAAATTGCACCGCAACAAAGCACAATTCGTGTAACATAAATAAGAGTAAACTCTTATTTGACATCACGATGCTTCGCACGTGTTTCAGTCGGTTTATTTGTTGTAGCCGAAAAACGCAATCAACGGCAAACAAAGGGGTTGAAAGAGTGGCGGGCGCGCGACACCGCGGAACGATTGTCCCTCCCCCGGTCGTAATGTCATTGTTGCTACTTCGATTGCAGACTAGGCCGCACCACCATGATTGCACCACTTCACCCCGTGTGCGAATCGTCTCGAGCGTGCCGCAGGCCCCGCCCCCGGTGACGTCACGTGGCGCGGCGGCGGCTGCGCGCTCGGAGGCGGCGCCGCGGCCGCCCCCGGCGCCGTGCTCGGCCGCCACATGACCGCCGCCGCTCAGTTGACACGGGCTCGCTCCGCTCGCCGCAGAAGTTGGCCCCGTCGTCGCCGTGGAGCTGAACAACCCCTCGTCGGCCGCCAGCGCCGTCGCCCCGCCGCCGCCGCCGACCGTTCTGCACTCTCAGTCCCCGACGCCCTCCGCCTCCGCCGCCCCCGAGGGCTCCAACCCGCTCTGGTGGCCTCCGCCCGCCAGGTACAGCAGCATCTTCATCCCTCTGCCCACCACTCAAGGCGCCAAGGTAAGACAATTTCATTAGTTTTAATTGCATAAAAAATCTATTATTTTGCAAATTCATGACCTGACTCAATTCTTGTAGACTAAATCGTAAGTTATGAGTGATTTTCAAGGTTTTTGAAAAAAACCTCTATTCATATGAATTAAACAAGAAAAAAAATTTTATTCAAGAACAGTATTTATTTTGATGACTATTTCAAAAATATATCACATTATGCTCTGCCATAATGTGCCAAAGTATCGCTTCGAATACAAAAATCATTGTTAAATAGAATACACACAGATTCCCAAAGAACAAAATGAAAATCCGCTTTTCAAAAGTTGAATGTGTTTGTTTTTCATTTGAAAATCGGAACATAAATTGCAAGCAGACGTGGAGCAAAATTTGTTGGATAAATCCAAGCAATTATTTGGAATAAAAATTGTTTGCTTTTATAAACATTTTTTCAATGATTAATTAATAAATTGTTGTTAAAAGCACAGAGTAAGGTTTTAAAACATAATATTTTTTTTTTAAATGTGTCATTGATGAGGCTAAAGAATTTAAGATAATTAACTTTTAAAAGTTATAAACAGGTGGTGCGAGTGCCTCTGTTACTGATTTTAAATGTTTCATTAGATTCGTTTTTATTTAATATCCGCACACACTAAATTTTACTTGCATCAATATCATTCCTCTTTAATTTTTATGTAATAATTATAAATGACAAAAAATGCTGTAATTTGTGCAATTTTAATTACAGCGTATCAGCCAGTTTTCAATTCCGCGACATTTGCCTTTTTTTTTATCAAATTCAATCAATGAAACTATATTTCAAAACAGCTAACGCATTCTGTGTTAAGGAAAAGTTTTCCAGCGATTTTACCCATTAAAAAAATCATAAATACATATTTCTATAGAGGTTCTTATAGTTTTTGTTGTGGAACCTTTTGACACTCTATGTGTTCATTTTGGTTAAATTAAATCCGGATTCCTCGGTGAAGATGAGCAACATTATTGTTTCTTCATGATATAGAAAATAACTGTTCTCCTATAGTTTTGGTTGGTGTAAGCCAACCAGGTTCCACAACAAAAACTTAAAAATAACTTAATTGCCTTCTCTTCAAAATTAAAAATAGTGTAAATGAAGTAAATTGCTCCAAACTGCTTTAAGTGTTTTAATTGACATTCTAGGAGCTGAAGATCAGCCCCTTCGAACATTTTGAAAATAAATATGAATCGTCGCATAAAAAAATTGATTAAACCCATTTTTAACTTCAAAAGCGTATAAAATTTTCACCTTCCTCTAGAAATAAAAAGTTTTAACTGCAAATTTCATAGTTAAAAGAGTTAGAAATGAAGCGCCAAAATCAATTACAAGTGCAGGAAGTGTCCGTTAACGGATCCAAACCCGCGCAGGCCACTTAACTCTGGAGATAATTGCAGTGGTCTGCGACGCGGCGAGAGTCAAGTGACAAGCTGACTAATTCACGCGCCGCGCCGAGCCCCCGTCCATGTATGTATGTTTTTATGAAGTGACAAAAGCGCCTCTTTATGTATCAATTAGGAGCATATTATGATGTGAGGGCACATAATTTTAGTGGGCTTTTTATTGCATTAGCGGTACCCCCATCACCCCATGACAATCATCAGCCACCCGCGCGCCTGTCATTCTCCTAGAAAGAAACTCAAACCGAATCGAGGCACTTAAATCGTATTGTTGTTCAGGCCGTCGTCAGTGTTGTTCTGTTATCGAATTATGTTCGACCGGCAAAGTTGAGTCGGTTTCAGCCGAGGAAATTATTTGACCTTTTGTGGGTCAGGAAATTAAACGACTGCATTTTAAGCAAAAAAAAAAAAAAAAAAAAAAATGCCATTTTAAGTTGCCATTTAAATTTAATGAAAATCACTTCCCATTAAATAATCTTTTAATAAGCAATTAATTTCATCACATTTACTAAATAAAATTTAAATTTTAAACAAAAAGTCCCTAATTGATTTTCCAATTAATAAAAGGCGCAAAAGAAACTTAAATTTATGAGATTAATGTTAAATCTGTTGAACAAAGTTAATGGTTTTAATTGAGTGCTCGGGTTAAATTGAATTGTTTGCGGCTTTGTTTAAAAAGTCAACTGGAAACGGCTGAAAACAAGACCTTCTTAAGGGCATTATCGTTGCTCTCTTTCTAGAGAGAGTTGAGCTCGCGCTCGCGTTGCCACCGCGCATATAATAATCATAATCATGTCTCCAATCGTCTGTGTCTTGATCGAATTTGCCACCACTTAACCCTTTAGCCTTCGTCATGTGGCGGTTGTGACGTATTTGGGTCTAGGTGATACAAAAGTCGTCGCATCTGATTATTTTATTGTTGTCGTTGCAGCGTCTAATAACGCTGGCGGGGATTAGATTAAGTGGGTTAACCTCTGAGGCGACCCCTCCTCTCGTCTCCCAAATTAATAAAATATTAATAAACCAATTACGATTTCCTTCTCATTCCTTGATTGGACAAATGCGGGCCTAATCCAATTTGCGAATTAATAGGTTAATCGAAGAACAGGATACTTTAAAAAGATCCTGGGAATTATCTTATTATTATTTCTTTTTTCTATGGATTTTGATAATAATTGATGAGCATGCAAGGATGATAATTACAGTCGATTTTTAGGTTAAATATTTTATTCAGGTTTAAAGTTATATTAAATTATTGCATAGCAATGTTTTTACTCAATTATGTTCAATCAAATTGAATAATATAGTTGATTTTTTCTTTTTTTTTTCTTCAGTTTTGTATGAAAATAAATGTTCTGATGCTCTATAGCAACATAAATCACATTTTTTAATTAGAAAAATTAAGAAAAACTACTTATAACTATTAATTTTTATCCAAAGCTGCAATTTAACTAATTTATTTTCTCAAAACTAAAAACAAACAACAAAACTTTAATCAGATCTTGAACAAAACAGTAAAAAATAATTAAAATTTCGCAAAACCTGACATTTTTGCTAAATAAATAATCTTAATTTGTACAAGTGTCAGTAATTATGTTGAAATTGCGCAATAAAATTGCATGACGCATGTGGATTCGGCAAATAAATCAATTAGGCTCGCGCTGAATTGCAAATTTCCTCTCTCTCATTGCGGCTAAATTGATTAAAACAAGGGAGCTGCTGCATGTCTCTACTTGATGCAATTACGGGCCGGTGAAAAATAAATCCCTAGCTGGTAAAAAGGTCAAAGCTAATGGGTCACATCCTGACTGCATACATACATATATGCGTTTAATGCCGGCGCGCAAATCAGCGCGCAGGGGAACGAACACTTGAGAGTTGGTGCATGAAATTTATTATTTTTCAGATGGTGTGTCCGGTTGGTCGGGCGAACCCCTACAGTCTCATCCTCACTTCAGCTCGTCCGTGATTGAATTTAACTGGCTTAATTGACTTATGTGTGTGTGTTGCGGCGACGGGCGCGCCGAGGGGGTGCATATGCACTTGGTTTAGCCACAGGCCACTCGATCGGCGAAAAAATCTTCTTGTTCACTTAATTGCTTCTTGGACGAGACGCAGGACGCTTCCATTGTCCGGTTGATTGATTTGAGTGCCCAGTCCTTCTAAGCATTTGATGCAGACATAGACGGAATGTAACCCAAATTAGCAATTGCTATGCAATTTTAACATCTGCAACTCAATTTATAATAAACATGGATTGTCTAATTTTTGGTTAATTCTTGCTTATTTTAGCAGTTCAAATTATGATCTTCAAAATAAATTGCAACTTTTTCACTACTTATATTGCCTTTTTAAATATTACTGCTTACATATTGTTTTGTTTAAATATTTTAACATTTGTTTTTTAAAATTTAATTTATAATGAAATCCTCATTTAAATTTACAAATTTAAAATATAATTTAACCTCATCCCTATATTTAAATATATCTTTTTATTTTGCATTTTTATTCCGCTCAGTGCCGCTCAGTTTTTATAATCCACGTTTGGCACGTTTACAGCAATCTTACGTTAGGAAAGCATCTGGAGTTTATTATTAAGGATTCAACTGCGGGTCCATGGTTATAGTTTCTCTCTTATTTATTCACTTAAGATCATATAATTAGCAAAATTTAAACTCATGTTCATATCTTAATTTTCTATAGTGATTGAAAATTCAAAGTAGAGGAACTGCTTCAATTTAAAAGATGTTTCATAACGTAATCAATTGGTTAACGCACAATTAATATAAATTAAAACCACTATTTTAGTGCATCTAAAAATTCCAACTTTTGTATTATTCCAATATTAATATTAAATTTATATTATACCAAGTTAAAAAAAAGACTTTGAGAAATTTAAATTAGTAACCTAAAGTAGAGAAAGTAAATTTAATTATAATTCAATCCTTCAATCTAATTATATCAATAAATATACAAAAATTTAAACTGAAGTGTGATTGAATTTTCTAGGTACACCTTCCAATAGTCTAATTGTAACAGACAAGGCTGCATGAAGGGTATAAAATTTCTTACTCCTCCGTCAATTCAAACAGCCGTGAACTCGGCGCCTCTCTCGCTGGGTTGCTCATGGCGCAGAGATGAGAAAATGAGGTCGCTAAAACGACAAATAAACTAATGAAAGCGAACGTAAAATAAATAAAAGCGACACAGCAGTGTGTGGTTGTGGTTGCGACCTTTTGCTGTTCGCGCGTGATCGCGATAATAAATCAATTCACGCGCGCTGCAAATCAGGGATCACACTCGAGCAATATCGGGGACGCATAAATAAATTGTGTGAATTGTGAGCAGGCCATCAGTTTGCAATTCCTAAGAAGACCTCTAAGGATTTATTGGAATTACTTCCTTATGCGTGTTCAAGGATTATTAATGCCATTTTTTTTAGATAATTGAAATTCTTGTTAAATAAAAAATGATTTGCAAAACTGGTCTTATATATGAATTTGCATGTCATTGATCAAAATTTGCTAACATTTGGAGCTTACAATAAGATTGTTGTTTCCCCTTAAATTAGCTGA